TATTCCTGATCAGAACATATCATTCAGCATGTCAGCTGGTGCATGTGCAAAGACGTACATGGCTGTGTTTGCTCGCCAGGGCAATTTCTATGATATAAACTACTTCCAGCAACCTTGGCTCATGAAGGACGACCTCAACATGCTATTTAGCCCTGTTCTCACCACTGAGCAGGTCTGGTATGCGTTCAGCATCTTAGCTCTCCTTCAGTACCACCACTTTCACGGTCTTTGTCTCACAGTTCCCAACGTTGGTGATCAACAATCCCAATTTGACGAGGCAATGAAGTTCCGTAACAAGCATATCATAGCATTTGGCCAGCAGGTACTTCAGCATTATTGTGATGGCTGCATGCATATATAGCGCAAGACAGGTGATCATGGTGAAAACATATTCAGTGAGTACATATCTATTGTTGCTGCCTTTTCTACGGTAACACTAGTACTCTGTAGAAAAATTCCAGGTCATTGTGAGCGGCGGGATAACCATGGGTCACCCCTGCTGCAAGAGCTTCCGATGCACAGATCCACTTCTCCATTCACGCAACCACTTCTGCTATACTCATCAAAACTTAGCAGATATCTGTGCTGTTGATCAGTGTGTCCTCAAGATTGTTTTAACACCCACCACCAAGCAATCTTGCAATGACCCAGCCCATTGTGCCATGGAGGAAGCAGCCAACCAGCAAGGACAGTCCATGTTTGCCCTCACAGACCATCTTGCTTGTGCTCGCACTGCTCATCCCATGGCTGATGATGACTTGGCACACAACATCATTCCCAACGGGGAGGTCACCTGGTTCAACATTGATGACAAGGACGATCTAGTCCCTGTTATCAAGAAAAACCCTGTCAACGTTGGTGTGCCCGAGGCTGAAGCTCAGCAGCCGCCTTGCCCCAAAAAGGCTCCTCAGGCACAAAGGATTCTCCTCTCACAACATTGCACGTGTTGTGAGGTTACCCTGGTGTGGCCCTGTGGGATTATTGTTGCTCGAGCAACGTTCTATGGCGCCGAGGCAGTATCAAATGTCTTGGTGAGTTTGTTTCTGTTGCATTGTTGGTTGCAATTAATCTGGGACAGGTATTTGCCAAGTGTGTTTTCACTACACCTGGCACTCACAGACCTGAACATTTTGTATATGATACGGCCTGTGAGGCAAAGCAACAGGTTTTGGCCAACAAAGACCAGTACTGGCTCCCTGTCGACATGTGTGTTGATGTCTGGCATCTTCAAAACAAGCACAAGAAAAACACATACCTTCTGCCAGGAGCACTGCAACTCTGCCAACTATCCCGAGCTCAAGTCTGAAGATGGAAAAGGGTGGTGGTTTGATACCTCTGTAGCTGAGCAGGTTAATGTTTGGCTCGGAGGTTACCACTCAATCGTACATGAGATGATGCAGGTAAAATATAACTTTTTTCTTGACAAGATGATTTGCCTTTGTAATCTCGACACCCTCAAATTGCTGAAGGTGAAGGGTCTAAAACCTTCATACATGCCCTTCAATTGCACCCCTTAGTTATCATTACACTATAATTTATTCATATTGTTGTTTCTGTTGATGTGTCAATAATACACGAGGGGGTTCTACTACGTGAAGTTATCCGTTTTACAACACACCTTGCCGCATCATGTCAGCGAGGACGATTGCGTCAACAGGCGTGACATTGGTGTTGTCGCATTGGTGCACAACCAATCGCATCATTGGCAGTCATGCGTTGATGCAACAAATACAATGATGCAACAACACATTGAACACAAAAAATGCAACGACTTGTTGAACACAACACGAACACATTGAATGTGACAAACGCCATGAACCCAACAAACACAATGACATGATGAACACAACAAACACGTCCCAACAGCAGTCGCATGTCAGCAAGGACTATCATGTCAACGTAATGTTAACTGGGACAGCAACACAAGCTTGTTGACATGACCAAGCAACAATTGCGACTTCACAACAACGACCGCAATGTTGCAACACACGCAAGAACACATACAAGCATGACAAACACGTTTGAACATGTTCAACGAGCAAGAGTGAGCACAACAAACACATTCAACAAATGCGTCCCCACCAACCTGCCTGAGGGCAAAACTGGTCAAAGCAGGGACTTGACAAGCTCAACAAACAAATGCAGCGAGTGTCAGCACAACAACACGGCAAACACAGCAACACAATAGACATGTTGGTGTGACCTAGGACATGTGTCCGAGGAACTTGAGTAAGTAGTTCCACTTGCTGCCCTGATAGACATTGGCTGGGAAGGAGTCAAAGAAGGGGTGGAGTGAGTTGGCAACAGATGTAGAGAAAGAAATGGGAACACACATGCAGGGAGGTGTCCTGCTCAATCTCGGGGCCAAACTACGTACAGGATTGCAGTTAGAAACCAAATGAACGGGGCAGTAATGAGGACGACGTACCAAGTTGACATGAAGTTGTATCTCCAAACATTGCAACCCTTGGCGCACTTCATGACGTCTGCTTTGGACAACAACTCGCTGTTGATACCTGCATCAAAATGTTAGAGCCATCAAACCAGGAACAAGGGATAGTAAGACACACCAAGTGTGTACATGATGCAGTTCTTCTTATTCTCTACCCTTTCTTGGCTGCACGTCCACTTTCCGCCATTGCTGTTGCATTGAAACCTTGAATGCATTCAATGTGTTTGCTGGTTGCATTGAGCTGGTCGTGTCAAGTAGTACCTTGAATGTGCTCGACGTGTTCGCCGGTCGTGTCGCACTCGCAATGAGGGTGATTGCATTGACGAGCATTGGTGTGGGCCCCAACAGACCGTTGTGTTGGCAATGTAAAGCAGCAAAAGGTGTTCTCATCATGCATGAACTCAACTCCATGCACATTGGTTTAAGCACTTCCTTGTATGATAATGGGTTCCTAAGACATGATCTTGTCCCTGACTTCTGTAACACATCCCTTTGTGGGTACTCAACTGTCAAGGGTTCTATAGAGCATTATCAGGACTCTCAGTTAATGGTAATACTCAAAAAACATAATACTATGTGCACCATAGCACACTTTTTAACTGTTTTCTAAGAATAAGATCCAGGGTAAGGTGCTCTACTTGGTAGGTTGAGCTCTCTGTGGTGGTCTTGGTGGCTGGAAAGATGGATGGAATATCTGATCTACTATCAGAGCAATGGATGGCATGGAATATCCAAAATAACATATGTTTTGATAGCATTTCACACTTTTCTGAGATTTTTGTGGATGTAATACACTATGCAGCTGACCTAAGGCTATGGTAAAGCAAATTTAGTGGTGTATAGTATACCAAATGAGTGCCAAAACCATTACATATCCAAAAACACCTGTATGCAACAGCAATCTGTATGTCAAACTACCCTCCTAAACCTCCTAGATTTGCTGATAACCTAGAGATTGCTGTATAAGCACCTGATAAGGAGGGTAAAACTTCCTGACTCCTACTATAGGTGTAAGAATCACTAGAATCAAGGATCAGCAGATTATGCTGTTTGACCCACCTGTTTGAATATGTCAGAAATAATAGCCCCTGAGTTTATTTCACATTAAACTTCTCAGTCACCACACATTTTTGACCGGTTTGAGCTGTCTGTATACATCCTATAAGCTATCCTATGTGCTTAGCAGGGCCTTGGGATGTACAGAAACTGCCAAATAATCAAAAAGTTGACACACAGTATGTCAGGAAACATGCTCAGAAAGGGAGGGATAACCAAGCTTATTTCTCTCTTGTGGATCATCAAACCACTCTAAGTAACATTCAAAAAGTACTGAAAAAATATTGGTAGGGCTTGGTAAGAAATTGACTGAGAGTTGAAGGTGAATGGTATGTTAATATCAGGTTGGGTGAGGTTAATGATGTCAAATCTACGCCGACACCTCAAAGTTCAGTAGCATACTAGTATGACATTGAGTGAGAGTGATGAGATCAAACATATGCTGACATTTTGAGAGACAATAGTATATTAGAATCACATTGGGTGAGATTAATGATGTCAAATTTATGCCGACATTTTGAGGTACAATAACATACTAGCACTACATTGAGTGCAGGTGATGAGATCAACTTTATGCCGACATTTTCAGGATATGCAGGCCGGGCCTTCGTGGATGTCCGGTCAGCGGATGGGTCAAAACCCCAAGGATGTCAGGGCAGCGGTGACCGGCGGTTGACTGACCATGTCCTGGCGGCCGCCTCACTGTAGGGGTTGGGTGACTGGTAGGAGATGCTCCGGCCCATACCCCAGGTGTGTGTCAGGGCAGCGGCCTGCCTTGTGCATTTAGAATGTCAATCATAGTCCAGTGTTTTTAGCTATAATGCTCCAGTTATTGCAGCTACAGTGCTCCAATTATTGGAGGTATAATGGTCTGAGTGTTGCAGGTACAAATACAATGCTCTGGCCATTGCAGGCATAATGCTCTGGCCATTGTGGCTACAACACTCCGGTTATTGAAGCCATCCTGCTCCGGTTATTGTAGCTACAATGCTCCGGTTATTTTAGCTACAATACTCTGGGTATTTCAGCCATAATACT